GTGAGCGCCAAGTCATTGTGTACGTTTAATAAAATACAATCAGTCTCTGTCCTGAGCAGCACAGGAAAAGTCCGCTTTCTGCGTCAGGAGAAGAAGAAGAAACATAAAAGTCTCAGTTTGTCCCAGATCAGGACTTAAAGGAAAAGATCAGCATGGATTTCAGTTTCATGTTTTTGTGTTAAGTATGGAGGAAATTCCACCTACACCTGCCAACAGACAGAAAGCATGAACATTAGACCTGGGATAGGATAGAAATAACTGATTATTGCCTCTTTGTGGAAATTGAATGAATTCCTTTTTCTTTTCAATTAGATTGTTGAATGTTTAGCTGCAGTCGAGGTCGGCCTGCGGTGCCACTCAGGGAATCCAGACATTATCTGAATGTTGGATTTGAACATGATTTTGTTAAACCCAAGTTGTGGTGCAAATCGAAATCACAGCAGGCACAATCACCATCTAGGCCCACAAACAGTCAGCTCTTTGCCAGATCTCACCCAAATGTTACCACAGAAACGCTAAAGAAAAGAAACAGAGTCTGAATTTGATCCTAATTCCTCTGGTACCGGATACATTCATCAAGCCCACATGATAGCAGTGCAAGTCTGTTTACGAGATCTGGGCTGTTACGTCTGCAGGTGGTGGAAAGTGGACTTACAGCTAGCTGCTTCTTTATTGCCAGTATTATGCTAAGCTAAGCTAACTGTAGGACATGTGAGTCATAGTCAAATTTAGCAAAAGTGTTTGATGCAAAATGTTGTAATGTCCCTTTAATGTGCGAGTCTGCAAAGACCAAAATAAATGTTTGCAGCAAAAATGAAGCACTCTTTTCCTCCCTGAAGAAAACCTGTTGTTTTTTTAACCTCTTTGATGTTAGATGCAGATTGTGTTGGTGAATCTGGGTTATTAAAAACTCTGTATTAATAAATAGCTCAGTCAATAACTGCATTTAGTTGCAGTAATACAGAAACTTTCTGGGTGTTAGTTTTTACTTTTATAATGTGTGCTCCATTAAAGTTTACTTTGAAAGCCACAGTGGCCTATTTACTCTGAAGTTTCCCCAAATCTCTACAACTGAGATAGTAAGTGCAGAGTTAGCAGAGTTAAAAATACTCCTCAATTCATCCTGTCTGAAATGAGCTATTCACCCCCCCAAAACCCACTTTCTTCAAATCTGCTAACTCCTGTAAGCCTGACACTTGGTAAGCATTTACTGCCTGCAGCAGATGAAAACATAAAGATTTTGAACATTTAAGAAGAAATACAAAAAACAGCAGAAAACAGTTTTGAGTTCTGAGTTTTTTGCATACATGGAAAACTTTTACATACTTTCACCTTTATATTTGAAATGTTAGCCATGTTTAATATTGACAGCTCAAACTGTAACATATTACAGAAAATAAGAACTTAAAAAATAATAGCTCCCTTTTGATACCGGTTGTAAGTAAGAAGGTGTGATAACAGACGCCATTGTCCGGTGTCACTGATCGAGTGCTTCATTTTGGTTGCAAACACACGTCACTGGTTCATTTCTGTGGTAAGACAAATAAATTGTAGCTCTTACGAGTTATTTTATTATTCGAATTTTTTCCAAATATGTTGAGTCTTTGCAAAAATATATTGAGTTTTGCTGATGTGCTGAATAATTCAGAGCTACTTGATGAAGTGCTGCAGTGGGTGAGATAAAATGCTA